GCTGAACCTATGCCTCAAAAAAAAAATCAAGAAAATTCTGTTGGATAGTTTGTAGCTGGAATCAGTTAGAAGGAAGTAGGAAGAAGTGACTTGAAATTACTTGTTTCACTTCCCAAGAAAACAGTGGGCGCCATGGGAAATAATGGGCTAGGTCCTGTCAGAATTCATTAATATCCTGTGCTGGTTACCTATTACTGCATAACACATCAGCCCACCACTTCCTGTCATAAGCTAAGTCTTCCTCATTTATATGGCTGGTGCCTTGCCTGGAGTGGCTAGAGGAGGGGAGCTGGTTGGTCATTTCTCTGTATAGACAGCTTTTCATGTAGCTAACTTGGATTTTCCCCAACATGGCAATCTCAGGGTTTTGGACATTTTACAAGGTGTAGAAGAAGTATTTGCAGGGGAAAGCGTTAAGGCTTGTTAGGACTCAATCTCAGAAATCAGTTTCATTTCCAGTATTTTTTTTCTGTTGGTTCAAAAGTAAGTCATAGACTTATCCAGATTCAGGGAAGGTACTCCACAGTATGTGAATACTGCAAGGCTGCTCATTGAGAGTTATCTATAGAGAATAGCTGCCACAGTTCCTTAATTTGGAAAGATGAATTCCAGACTCAAGAGCCTGCCAAAAGACCAAGTATATTTTTTGGTGACGTTTAGAGATTTTTTTTTAAGTTCTCATAGCTAGTAAATAGTATGAGAATCCAACACTTAGCAGACTGGCTCCAAGACCACGCTCAAATTGTAGCATATTCCTGTATGCGAAATAGTAGGGTAGAGATATAAAAATTATATTCAAGATGACAGATGTATAGATAAAAAGTAGCAATCCAATATCAAGAGTAAATTTCCCAAGTAGACCAAAATAAACAAGATAAAAGCCTAAAAAGAGATGATAGAAAGAAATAATTGTCCTTTCTCATAAATTGAAAGTTTTACCATTTACCTGACAAATTAACGCAAGGTATCTATATCTAGGAATAACCGGTAGGAACCTTAGAGTCCAAATATACTCTACCCACTAAACAGAGAAACTAAACTGGATAACTTCATAATGAGGGAAGATTTTATTTTTTATAAATGAGCTAACAGTAAGAATTAAACCCAAATAAATGTAGACTTAAATATAAGTAATTTTACAATATAATTTTAAAAGAAGATATGGATGCATGAATCTTTAAAATACGTATGATGCAAAATGTAATTTCGAAAGTCCACAGTGAATGAAAAGTGAGATGAAGTTATCTAATTTCCTCATTTTGCATAGCAAAATCAATATTTACATTCTCAATGTTGATAAGTGGGAAAATAAAGGTTCAACTTTTTATATAAATGCATCTACTAAGGGAATTTTTTAAGTGATCTATATTCTGCAAATTTCTAGAAGGAAGCAGCAAGTCAAATCAGAACCAGACAGCAGAATAATAGTAAGATTACAAATTGGGAAAAAAATGAAATGAAACCAAAGAAAAATTAAAATAGTAAAGGCCAAGCATATCATCGGTGTAAATACGTACAAGTGGTTCAAATTCCTCTTCGGCTAACATTTCTGGTGGTCTAGTGGTTAGGAACTGGTGCTTTCAAATCCCTTTTAAATAAGACAAATATTTCAATAACATAAGTGCTTTATTAACACAAATACTTTCCGAATGGGCCCAAACTCCAAATCCTACTACAGCTAAAACAGTGCAAAAAGAAAACAAAATCAAATAGATATAAAACTATATGAGGAAAATATAAATTAAAACAAAACCTGTGTGACAATACTAATATCAATGTATGTGTGTGTATATATATATACATATATATAATGTATATGTGTGTGTATGTGTATAAACATATATATATAAGCATATATATGTGTATATATATATATAAATATAAATTTATTAGGATAAAAAATCTCCCTTTATTTTCTGACGAGGGATGAATTCCATAATGAAAAATGTAATAACCATAGATTAGAGATATAAACTATTAAAAGTAATTACATTCAGGTGCTTGGATTTAGGTGATATGATAACCATTGTATAAGAAAAAAGTACCTCATTCAAATTCAAAAACTGATTTAAGAGTGACGATTTGCAATGTGAGTTTGTCTGCTAATCATTTAGAGTTCTGGATGAATTATCCGTAGAATATAGAGCTTAGAATCATAAGTTGTCATATCGATTTCTTTTTTACAGGGCAACAGAATTTTCTGGAACAACTGTCGGTCTTGCTTTCATGAATACAATGTGCTCTCCTTATCATTCTGTTGGCATTGTTCAGGTCTGTTTGAAGATAGTTGGTTTTAAGTTCAAACCTGTCAAATGCTCTGTTTTCTGAATCTATTGAGAAGATAGTATAGTTTTTCTCCTTCAATCTGTTGACATGATTGATTAACATTGATTGAATTTCAAATGTTTAATCAATCTTGCATATCCAGTGTGAACCCAGCATGGTCATAGTGTATTATCTTGTTTATAGAGGTCATTTCAAGGGGAAAAAAACACATTTAAGTTATGAAAATAATTATTTTAGGGAAGATTCCTTAAACTTGAAAGAACCTCAAAAAATTGATAAAGTCTCTATTTAAACACATTTCTATTTTTTCTTAATTTTTTTGGTTTGTTTTTGTTCCCATTTGAGGAACTCCATTTTACTAGATAGCAAGGTTTACCAAATTCATCTCCACAGGATGAAACAGTATTGTGAAAGGTAGGTATTAAATGCTCGTCTTACACAGGTGTTCCTCGTTTGCCAGTCCTGTACTGTGTCTTATGGATCTCTTTATTTGGTTCTTTGAAATGAAGTAGATGAGAGAATCAGGTTTCTGTGGGTGGGTGTTATCCATAGATTTTAGTCTCCCCATGGGAAATTACAACCAGCCATGATTCCCTAGTGTTTATTGCTCCTGGATAACTTGAAGCCCCCAGTCCCACACCTCTAATCAGAAACAATCTGGAATGAAGTTGACCACTGGGGTGAGTCTGGAATTGACCCATGTCTAGTCTTGGTAGCAATAGAGTTGAAAAAAATACCAATGGTGCTTAAGTTCTAGGTTTTTAAAAACTTTTAGAGCCCCATTAAATAAACATATCAAAGCCCTCCAATTGAATTAGAGGGTATTAGAAAGTAAGCCAGGAGGAGGGAGGTAGGTTATCTAAAAACACGTCTGATTCCTTATCATTGATAAAGAGATTTTACCACTACCTCTCATGACAGGAAACCACAAAAATGTTCCTCATTATAAATGTTCCTCATTATAAATGTTCCTCATTCACAAGAACAAAGAGCAGGGTTTATGCCCTGTGATAGGCATTTAGTACCAATTGCGTGCGTGTGTGTGTGTGTGTGTGTGTGTGTGTGTGTGTGTGTGTGTGTGTGTGAGAGAGAGAGAGAGAGAGAGAGAGAGAGAGAGAGACAGAGAGAGACAGAGAGAGACAGAGAGAGACAGAGAGAGAGAGACAGAGAGAGAGAGAGAGACAGAGAGACAGAGAGACAGAGAGACAGAGAGAGAGAACATGAGCCAACCAGCCAGACAGCCAGACAGCCAGAGACAGAAAAACAAAGAGACAGAAAAGAGGCAGAGAGAGGCAGAGGGAGAGGAGGGAGAAAGGGAGAAAGTGAAAAGGAGAAAGAAAGACAGATGGTTGGTGAGTGAGGAAAGTGAGCTAAAATCAGTCCCTCTACTCCACTTGACTGCAGTAAAAATATTTAATTATACCCTGAGCGATAATCCAGTTTGTAAATCCAGGATCTGTTTTCTTATTCTCACCTTTAGGATCACAGTGACAATGTGCTTAGAATTGCAGGAACAGTGGCTCATGAAATGGGCCATAACTTTGGAATGTTCCATGACTCCTATGTTTGCAAGTGCCCTTCTACAATATGTGTGATGGACAAAGCACTAAGGTGAGGCTATCTGGGAAGATGCTATGTATGCCTGTTTTTAATTCACTCTGAGCTCTTCTACCCTTTCATTTCATCTTTAGCAACATGGTCAAGCTGTTAAATGATTTAATAGCATATTCACGAATGTGTTGCTATATCAAATCACCTTATGCCTTATCTATATTTAATATTTTTTGTTAACCAAGACATCATTTAAACATGTTGTCTTTTTGCTTTGGGCATTCCTTGTCATTTTATCCTCATCTTATCTACATGAGACCTGGTTTCAGAAAATTATTAATTTTTATCAAATTTTCAATAAGTTCAGATTGGGTGGTGGTAGGAAAAAAGTTCTAGTAAAATCTAAAGAAGAAAGTTATCATAGGAGAATAAAGAAAAAGTCTGTGAAAAGAGATTACACATTTCTGTCTTTACTTTGGCGAAATTGCCAGGGGATTTTGTCTTTAAAAATTCCAGGATCCTTTTATACATTAATTTCCTCTTTTCTATTTTCCTCTCTCAACTCACTCAGTCTAGGGTTAGTTTCCCATGCCCTTCCACAAAATAGCATATGGCTGCATGCCAGTTATATCTCCCAAATATTACTGCATTTTTAAACCTCACCTTTATTTGTAGAATGAAAAAATTCTGTCAATAGGAATTCCTTTGAAGGAAAGTGAATTCTTAGACATGTAAATAAGTATGATTTTACTACCTTTAGATTTTAGAACTAAAATGACCAAAGGCTAAATAAGATTATCTGGATAAGCCAGGTACAGTTTTGTTTTTATAAACATCAGCCTGGAGGCTATTCTTTGAGATATGACCATATTTGCTCACCAAGCTGGAGGCGTTTATGTCTACCCAGGTGGGCTAATTCGGGCGCATAAATGAGCTTATGATTTAGTAATTGATCAGTGGATTTGATGTGATCTTATAAGGCAAGATTTGAGTACATCGGCCCCCAAATCTGATGTTGTTCCCTACATGCTCAACATGACCGCATTATCTTTTCTCTTTCCTTATCTTCACAGCTTTTATATACCTACGGATTTCAGTTCCTGCAGCCGTGTCAGCTATGACAAGTTTTTTGAAGATAAATTATCAAATTGCCTCTTTAATGCTCCATTGCCTACAGATATCATATCCACCCCGGTCTGTGGGAACCAGTTGGTAGAAATGGGAGAAGACTGTGATTGTGGGACTTCCGAGGTATTACCAGTTCTTTCCGAAAGAGTCTAGTTTGATTTCCAAATGCTAAGAAGATAAGAGTATAAAACTAGATGGTATGGTTCATTAGAAATTGCACGTTTCTTTACCAAGATGTTATGTATATTCATTTGTAGATATTTGTCAGGCCACTTTTCTAACAACAAAAATTACATTTGCTCAACAGACCTTCTTGGGGTTTGTCCTCATTTCCTGTTTTTTAAGCACCACTCACCTACTTGGGCTTTGTGTCTTCATCCCTTCCTGTCTGAAGTGCTTCACATTTCTTATATGCCTATGACTGTTGAGTGGTTACTTTAGGCACAGCACTGCGACAGTACTCAGAGTAGGTAGCTTGCCCAATGTCACCGAGCTGATAAATGGAGAAGCAAGATGTGGATTCTGATCTTTTATTTCAGCAGTCCCAGAACCACCCTGCACTAGGATTTAGTTCATCTCTTTGCTACTCAACTCGTTATCATTAGAAGTGCCTGGCCTGATCCCACCCTGTGCACAGGGCAGCCAGGATTCTGAATGGTTCATTTCCTCCCATTTTATTAACACTTAATATGAGTGACACATCCAGACCTCAGGGGGTCGGCTTCTCAATAACTTCAAAACAGGATTATAAATTTATTCATTCTACGTGAAAGAGTAATCTTTCCCAGATGATGTTTATATCTGAAATGAAGCCAGAATTTTAATCCTAAATTTTATAATTCTAAATATATCACTCCTCTAAATATATCAAACAGCTGCAATCAGAAAGGTGCCTAATTTCTCAGAAACAAGGCAAAGAAAGCAAAACAAAGTATATTGCTTTAAGCAGAGTTGAATTAAATATCAAAATTGTTTTCTATGGCCATGCTACTTTGAACAAGCCTGTTCCTGTCTGATCTCAGAAGCTAAGCAGGGTTGGGCCTGGTTAGTACTTGAATGGGAGACCACCTAGGAAGACCAGGCACTATAGGCATGAAAAATAAAAAAAAAATAAACAAATAAGGGATTGCAAGCTGACAGGGTCCTTGCAACCTTGAGGTCAACCAAGGGTTGCCTCGCCTTAAAAAAAAAAAAAAATCAAAATTGAATAAAGAACTATATTTTTAAATTTTCAGTTACATGCTCTAGAGATTAAATTTACTATTAGATAGGTACAAAACTGATGATTTTAACTGTGTTCTTTATTTAGATGAATTTCGTATTTTGAAAAACTGTCCTTTTTCCTTTTGTTTGCTCTTGTATTTTCCAAAAATATTACTTCTTTCATATTACCCTAGGAGAATGGGGAAACTAGAAAGATATTCAATTTTTAAAAAAATGTAAGTAGAATTCAGATAAATAACAAACCCTCAATTGCCCCAAATCTCAATTTTTCTGTTAAGCTTTGTTTTATCTTTTATTTTCCTGAAAATTATTTTTAGACTACATTAAAGTAAGGTCTGCGTGATGGATAAACTATAGATTATGGATTGTGCTGAAAGTAATTCAGCATTTGCATTTGTTTCTGATATTCATTAGGAATGTACCAACATTTGCTGTGATGCTAAAACATGTAAAATCAAAGCAGGTCTTCAATGTGCTTTAGGAGAATGCTGTGAAAAGTGCCAGGTAAGATTATCTTCTTCTATTTTAATAACTATAATTACCCTTTATTTTTATATGTTAAAATCTCAGGGATTGCGTTAAATGAAATAGGCAAAACAATGTTTTACTTTTTGTAAAATAATGCTACCTGCCATTTATCAAGTCCTCACTGAGTGCTTGACAAACATGGGCTGTTTGTCCTCCAACACCCCTTTGAGGTGAATATTATTATCTCATTTTGCTTTTAAGAGAACAGAGGCTCAGAACAGAAAATGTACAGACTAGAGTCACTAAATGTCAAACTCCAAATATTACTGGTTCCAAAGTTGTAAATACTGGTCCCTTCAACTGCCTGCCTGAGATACCACATGGCCTTCTTAGACTGAATCTCATAAATGGTTACATAGTCCTTTAATAATGGGTTTGGTGGAAAAGCTTTTATTTTGAATAATGTTGAGGCTCCCCTACCTTCAACCTACGAAGTCACTTCAGGGTGAAGTTTGTAGAAAAAAGATAGAAAGTGAAGAAGCCCTGTCATTTTTCTGTGAGGCTTCTTGACTTGCCCTGCAAGTTAGAGTTTAGCATTTTTCATTCCATTGTTGCATAGAATCCTACATCATGATTGTTTGTTTATGTATCTGTCTCCTTTGTTAGATTGACTCCTAAGGGTAAGGGACTGGCATTCTCACCTAGCACAGAATTTCATATATTGGAAATGCTCCATAACTGTTTGTAGAAGGAATGTATAGATGGCATACTGGGTTGTAGGTAGAATTTGGAATAGATTTTTTTTTAAATGTCAAAGGGAGAGAAAAGAAATAAAGGATGCCAAAGGGAAGAAAATTTGAGAACTTAAGTAGTATTTAACAAGCGTTAATTATTAAGTGCTATTTGTTAGAGATTATGGAAGATTTCAAAAGAAAAAGTAGTCTTTGACCTCAAAGAACTTGTTATTTCCTTAGGGCAATGAAATATATACCTGAAACAGATGAAAACATATGAAAATATAAATGTAAATGCTCAGATAGAAATGATAATGGTATATGTCCTTTGCATAATACTTTGCATCTATATATTCATTTAATTTTCATAATGACCTTGTAAGTATGAGATGTGGAAAAGAATTTTCAGAGATTAAATCAATTTTTTTAAGGTTACACACTTAGCCACTGCCAGAACCAAGATTCAAACCTGCATCTTCCAAATCCAGGTTCAGGCCACTTTTTCCACCACATGTAAAAAGGAGATATAACATGTATAAAGAAGAAGTCAAGAGGCACCTTCTTGGAAACTAGTCTGGAAAGTAATGAATAGATTTTAGAGAAGTAGACAGAAAGAGAAAAAAATTTCAAATAAGGAGGCTGAGAGAAAGAGTAAAGAACAGAAAGTATGAGCATGGTTTGTGTGATAGCTGTTAAGAAAGCTACTCCAGCTGGACCAGTGAGAGTTGAATTTGGAGGGTCTCATATGCTCCAATTAAAATTCAAATTTTATTCTGTCACCAGCATAAAGATATTGAAAATTTTTTGATGATATGAGAGCCTGCCCTCTCACTTCAGCTAGAGAAAGGTATGCTTCCAATGCTCCCACAGGCTTCTTCAGATTCGCACAAGTGACAGAAATTGTTTACTAAGGTTTACCTGATGAAATAAGAGCAAGATTTGCAGAAATAGATTACGATAGAATTGATACATCAAATGGATATTTGATTATTTCTTCCTCATGATGAATCATTCCATAGGAAGAAGTGAGTTAAAATATCTCAACATACAATAATAAAAGGAATTAAGAATTAGGAAATGTGATGCCTGGGAAAGTCTCAGAGTATGTTGATCTGGTGCTTGTAAACTTATCTTCCTTAATACAAAAGACCCATTTCCCAATATATCCCTGAAGTTGCAGATTGAAATCTCCTTGAAATTTTTGACAAAGATGCATTCAGCAAAGGGAGAAATAATTTCCTTCTTTGCATCTAGGATGTTGCTTGTTTTTTTTCTGCATTTTTCTCATTGATATTTCTATAGTATTTGTGCTCCAAATTCAGAAATACTGATTACTTAAAGACTGAAGGGCATTGGCCAAAGTCAATAGAAGTGGTGTAATAGGAGATGGCTTTAGTTTATACAATGCAAATGTCAACTGGAATGGAATGATGCCTCTAAATATCTTGCCCCCCAAAAAAGGCCAAAGGGGACATATTATTTGTGTTAATTTGAGATATTAGGGTAAGTCAGATAGAAAAAACTTTTCTCCC